TTATTTTGTTTACTTATATTTTCGTCTCTCTGTTTATATACAATTGCTTACTTGTGATGTGTACTTTAAACTTTTGTTACATGTTTTTCTTTTAATACCCTACACCATTCATATTTTCCACAACTAACAAATTAAAATAAAAGTTAAAAGGTATAGATGGACATGTCGGAATATATAATGCCCAATACCCAATGTGGGGCTTTGGTAATTTATGGACTCTATTCCATCAAAAATAGGCTCAGCATTTTCTTAATTCCGATATATTTATAAATAATCGGAATTAAGAAAATTATTTAAAAATGATTTCTGAAAAAGTATTTTTTGTGGACTAGGGTCAAACATGGACCGAAGCTAACACAATTTGATATTCCAATTATTGAAATGAGGACTATGCTCAATTATTGACCGATCACTACTTGCATATTGTTCATGACTATGTCATAAAAATCACAATTCTGAAAGTCTGGTTGTATGGTGAAATAATGGATCACTGTGCGCTTACATCTGCGAAACTCTTATATCGCATTACTTTAGTTGAGGGTATAGTTTATAATACCAAACTATAGGGAAATATTTTAATTTCAGATTACTGCTAGGTAGTGACATGATTACAAGGGGATGCGATCGAAACATTATTTCAAATAATTAAAATCCTTATTACCTCGATGATGTAGTGCGTGTAAGAGATAGATATCTGCATATATGAAGGCGGTCTAAAGTCAACCCAACAACTACTGAATGGTTGCTTTTTATCAGAAGATATATCTCAGAATTTAGACCACATCGGCTGGATGGTATAATTTTGGAGCTTCCAAAAGCAATATACATAACTGTAATATTGGACTTTCAAGAAATCCTTTACATTGCGCTCTAGACGTTCTCATTTGTCATAAGTCTTTTTCTAACCTAGCTGGTCTTACAGGAGTGACAGGAGCTTTAAGATCATCGCCTCAGACCGGCCTGAATGAAACATCTGCTATTAATGTTTTTGTAGAAAATTTGTGTTCGACTCCAGAATTATTACCGTGACACCATCTTCCAAAAGTTACCTATATATATATATATATATATATATATATAACAAATCTGAGGCAATTCGTCGTCCTTTGAAGAAACAGCTTCATATAGAACATTGTCGCTGAAGTATTACAATATGCCAAATGGTCTATGCTAAATAGCGGTCTATCCATATAACCTCTAAGTAATAAAATTCTATATAAGGTTTAAAAAACTCTTCATAGGATGTATACGGTGTTTCTCAGTCAATTTGGCTTGATAGATTAAAAGTTTTAACTTGTTTTGTTTTACCCTATTGCTTTATCTAATATTTGCTTTCAAACACTATTAATACTATACTAATAGTCTAAACCTGTGACCCATTCTATTGACTCGTGGTTTGTTATGTGTGTAAATATACAAGGATATTTACATAAATAAATATACACCAACATATATATATACAAATATACATTTCTACATTAGAGTGTCCCGAGGAACAACCTTTTTAAAAGTCTCATGTAGAAATACCTCTCAATCGATGCGTATTAATGTACTGAACACGGAGAAAGAATAATAAATTTGGAAAGAGGACTTAGATTCCTACCATCGCTTGAAAATATTAATATTTTAACAATATTTTTTATATGCACCAAAAGTCGTTTTGCCGTACTCTAACAAAAATTTTAACTAATTTTCTCCCGATTAGGTCAAAATTACCGACCCATTTCTAAGATCAAAATTTTTAATCGCTGGTAGTTAACTGAGGCCCTTAAAGAAATATGTATTTTTGTATTTTACTTGTATTTGATCCACAGGACACCCTAATGTACATACATATGTATGTGTACTTGCAATACGCAATCTTGCAGTAAGACAAATGCAATAGAAATGTATGTTAAATCAGTGTTTTAACATACAATGTTATATGCATGCTTTGTATGTATTTATATTTACATACATACATATATGTATGTAGACAAGTATGTATGTGTGCATATTCTACATGTGAATGTAATGTAAATACATACATGAGTGTATGGGAGTAAATGTTAACCGAGTTCTTTGGTTTTAAACAGAAGTAAAAGTATACTGTTCCAATTTCAGCAAAAAAAGAGAAAGAAAAAACAAAACGATAAAAATGTGTGTGGTAAAATAACCCAATAAACATATAGCTGAAAGTTTTAAAAATACATATGTACAAATGAAAAGGAAATGCAAATATTTTAATAAGCTTAAATCATAAAGCTCTTTAACACAAACTCTTCATAAGGTTATCTATAAACTAAAGCTTACAAATAGTTTCCATGTAAAACAATATCCTTGATACTAGAGTTTCTCTTATCAACTGGGTTACAATTTAAATTATTTCCGACGCCAAGCTGCCAAACTTTAACATGCGTTTGGGTGACCAAAAGTCTATATTGAGCACAATAAAAACTTAAAGCACAAACACAATCAAAATTTACTCATCAAAAAATAACTACAATATAACTAGCAAACGACTGACTGACTGACTAGTAAAAGGAAATGAATAATACTGGAATACTAAAGCTCATAAGCATATTAATCGAAGAAGAAAAAAAAAACTTTAAAAATTACTTTATTTTTCTGAATAAGGTCAAAAAGCCAATGGCATAATAACAATAAAATTTTTGTAATATTGTATGTATGTATATAGAACAAAGTAGCTAACTAAGTAAAAATCAACTAGTGGCCAAAAGTAATGTCAAGAAAATTTTGTTGTCAATAAAAACTAATTTATTTATAAATTTAATAATATTGAAGAATATTTCTTTTATGTCCTTTAGACATAATCAAATTAAGAAATCATAAATAAAATTGAATGATTAGATATAAAAGTCATAGACTAGTTAACACAATACTTAAATGTTTATAGAGCTACTTATATAAAAATGTAATAATTTATTAAAATATGAATATTTTGTTGACATTATAGAAGGTTAGTTTGTTGGCAATTGGGCGCAGAATGATAGTTAAATTTATTAACTCTGTGATAATAAAATCTGTAAGACAAGTGAAAATAAATACCAAATTATATTTGATAAATACAGATCATAGTAGTAACTATTTAATTTAAAAAGAAGAGATGAAAAATATATTCAAGGTTTCAATTAAAAACGTAATAAATTATAATGTTAAACTAGTATTTTTAAGCGTTTAAGTCATTTTCTGAAGGCGACCTTATATGTGGAGTAGGGTCAATTATACACCGATCCTCATGCTTAATAATCGATGGATAGATTTTGGTTCATATGAAACTTAGTTATGTGGGATTTCATCGATATAATTGTATTTTTGAAACAGTTATATCAGCTAAGCTGTTAAGCGGGGGACTACTTGTATGGGGGCTATACGAAAACGTGCCGATTTTCAATACCAAATAAACTTTGACTATAGGAAATATTTGTGTAAAGTTTAAACCCTGTAGCACTTTCCATTCGGACTCTATCGTGTTTTTAGCAAACAGACGGACGGACATGGCTAGATCGTCTTAGAATTTAATGAGGACTCAGAATATACATATATACTTTTGTGGGGTCTATGACCAATATTTTGAGGTGTTACAAACTGAATGACAAAAACAATATAACCTCTATCTTTTTTGATGGTGGGTATACAAATATTTTATTATATTTCAATATTAGACACCATTATCTCTCCATTGTTATACACCTATCCCTCGTTTAACACAATTTCTTTAATTTCTCGTGTTAAACGAGGGATGGAAATTTTCTCGTTTTACACAATTGTTTTTATACCGGAGTCGTATAAGCTATGTCTGTCTGTCTGGCTATCTGTCTGTCCATCTGTATCTTTGCTGAAATCAGTTTTCTGAAGACCCCAGATATCTTCGATACCCAAATCTTGAACAATTCTGTCAGAGATGCTTTCTAGAAATTTCATATATAATCAGCAAAATCGATTAATAAATAATAGCAAAAAATCCGAGACAACCTATGAAAATTGTTTTTATAACGGAGTCGATTAAGGTATGCCTGTTCGTCTATATTTGTTGAAATCAATTTTTTCAAGACCCCAGATATCTTCGGGACCCATATCTTTAACAATTCTATCAGAGATGCTTTTTAGAAATTTCCGATAAAATCAGCAAAATCGGTTAAGAAATAACGGAGATATAAGCAAAAATTCGAGACAACCTCTGAAAATATCATGAGAAATTAGATTTTTTGTGCATGTTTAGACAAAACGATATAACAACAATAACATATAGATTGTACTTATTTTGCTTGCTTTGAAAAATGAAACAGAGTAACACATTACATATGAAACTGAGTGCCAAAATCAGAGATGAAAGTAAATTCCTGGTTGAAAAAAACAGAAACTTGTGACAAAATTTGTTGAATTAGTTGCTAAGCTTCTTGAGAAACTAAGCAAGAAGGAGAATGAAAACGTCATAACTTCATGGGTAGTTTCAGAAAAAATTAAAAAATAAATTAAATTAAGAATTTAATTTAAAGAAACTTCACGAAAATATATCTTATAAAATTCAAGATTTAGATCTCGCAGATATCTCGAGCCTCCAGTAAATGAAAATAATATTGTACTTATGACGAACATTAGGCAATATTTGACCATAGCCCAAAAAAGGGCCGTCCTATACAAGTTATATAAAAGCAAAAATGCCACTACTACATTACATGAGGATTGGTCCATGATTGACCGACTCATCATCGCATATGCGGTATACGATAAACAATATAGAATAATTGTAATAAAGAGTAAATCTTGGTGGGTATATTAGATTCGACATAGCCAAATATAACAATTTAATTTAAATTTTCCATATCTTTTATCGTTAACGTCGTAAAAAGGCAATTAAACAAAATAATATTTCTCAAACAATTTCAAACATCATCCACATTAAACCCACCACACAGTTGTTCTAAAACTTTCCTATACAACAAACTAACTTAATTCACATTATTTATTTGTTTGTTTTATTCTCATTTATACTTTAGGTGCTGCCTTACCCTGGCAAGGATTAAAGATGGCTCATCACCTACCACCCGTTTGTCCTCAAAAATTACCGGATATCTCTTTACAGGGTACAGCTAAAATGTCTAAAGGCCGTTATAAACATTTGACACGTTTGCTACCTTATCTCAAAACGGAAAGTGAGGATTGTTTGTATTTGAATGTGTATGTGCCTAATGGAAACGATGCTACTGCAACTGATGCGGGTGGAGGAGGAGGACCGGCATTTGCTTATGCCTCGGCTGCGGCAGCAAGTCGAGATGATAGTTTTATGCAAAAACATTTGTATCCTGTTGTAGTCTACATACATGGAGAATCCTTTGAATGGAATAGCGGAAATGCCTACGATGGCTCTGTACTGGCCAGCTACGGTGAAGTTATAGTCGTTACAGTAAATTATCGTTTAGGAATTTTTGGTAAGTGAACTCCTGTACAGATACAACATTTAATGTCATTTTTGTCTATGACAATTTTATGTTTTTCTTTTAGTCTTGTTTTTCTTGTTGTTTTCAACACTATTTGCCATCTATTGCAGGTTTCATGAGACCCAGCATTAATGAGAATACAGTTGCAAACTTTGGCTTACTAGATCAAATAGCTGCTTTACATTGGATAAAGGAAAATATACATTCATTTGGTGGCGACAAGGATAGTGTCACATTAATGGGACATACAACTGGTGCGGCCTGCATAAACTATCTTATGGTGTCACCTGTAGCTTCAGGTATGATTATCTACTTTATATGAATTTATATGTCACTTGCTAAACAAGTGGACAACCGAAGTTTTGTTTACCGTCGTTGTTATACCTATAGTTGAAGTTGATATTGTCATTGCTGTGGACAGATAAAAGTTTTAAATTGAATTTGAGTTATTTAGGAAATAAATGTTTTGAATTTCTGTTTTGATTTCTTGTTTTCTTTTTTTTTTTTCGTTATCAAATACTAGACAGTTTTTGGAAGATTTATGTGGGAATTTTTCAAATTGCAAACTTTTGACTGAATGTAAAATAACTGCAGTATATGTCAGATACTTGTGATGGCTTGATTTTTCATTTGATTTAAGTTTATCTTTAAAGTTTTTGGAGTTTAGTGTATATTTGTTTAAGAACTTAGAAATAGTAAATATTTTATAGGCCTCCAAAGATATGAGGCCTCGCTGCAAACCCTACGGAATTTTGATCTACTCTCTAAGGAAAAGTTGTAGCTCTTGTCATAAAGAAATTGTGAACAAGTGGAAAGTTTTTGCATTGTGAAACTGTACTGCTTTTATTAACGACACCAGTACGTATACGTGTTAATGATTTACTGATATTACAGATATGAAGTATACGCATAATTTAGAGAAGCACTTGAAATATTTTATAACAAGTTGTACTGTGTTATTTACCGTCAAATCATATGCATGATAAGCTCAACGATTCTTCGACCATCCATCCGTCTTTCCTATACATCCGTCTTATCTATACATCTGTCTGACCAACTGTCTGTCCATACGATTAATTTTATGGAATTCGAAGAACATAGTTAAGAAGTTTTAAATCTAGTCTTAAAGCTCTAATTTTGGGAAATACTTAGTACAAAAAATGGTAGAAATCTTTCAACCGAACAAAAATTATATCAGCGGATCGGCATAACTTGACTTAAATTCCTAACTCGTTTAAATCGTAATATAATTTCTAGTTAACACCCTATAAATTCAAACAATTCACCAGTATTTATAAGTTTTCTCCCAGGACAATACCTATTTTCATTACCTTATTATCCTTGGCATAATATATTCTCTTTTACATTTTTTTTCTGTGTTACTTCTTCCTATATTCTCATCTCAGTTAATTTTCTGCTGTATTTTTTTTTTGGTATCCATTTACATAAAGGTTTATTTCATCGTGCAATTTTGATGTCCGGTTCTGCCATGTCTGATTGGGCTGCTACAAATCATTCACTACAGCTGACAATGCAAATTGCTCATGGCCTTAATTGTCCGCTTAACGATGACAATGAAGAAATGTTATCATGCTTGCGCCAAAAACGGTAAGTAATTGAATTGATTTGGCCATTACACATGCATAAAGATCCTACAAAATAAAACCATTAAATTGGTGAAAGCTATTGGAAATATTTCTTGTTCTTTTAATACCCTCAACTATACTGTTGTTGTTGCTGTTGTTGCGGTAAAATTAAAAATTTATTATTTAAAATTTACTAAGCATTTGGTCCTTTTGTGGTTATAATTCTTAAGCAAAAGCATTATTGTGTAACAAATATAAAATATGGATATACAAATTATTAGAGTGTTATAACTGTAATTATATTTCTTTATAAATACAAAATTATTATTGCTGTTGAGTTTTTGTGGCTTTAGAACTTATCAGATTTTAATTAAGCCACATGCTTTTAATACACTTTTTTTCTGTGTTTGATTCAAATGATTCATTACAAAGTAATGAACTAGTAATTGTTTACGATTGAGGTCATACATTTAAGTAGAAAACTCAAGGTGTCTTTTATGTAAAACATTTCAATTTCATTTATTGCTACAATCTTGGCAAGCAATTTGTGCACTTTTGATAGTTGAGGTTAAAATGAAACTGAAGATGAAAATAATATACATATTCATTATATATTCTTATAAATAAACTATAAGATTTCTATAAATAAAACCATATATAAACACATACACTAAGTAATACAAATAATTAGGTTTCATTCGAATATACCAACAGTTCAAAGTGATAAAGTAAACCAATTTAAACTATCCATTACAATCCATAAAAATTTGTGGTATATTTCTGGAAATATTATTTAGATCAGCTAATGTTTACTAAAATGGTCTAATGTTTCAAAATACATTATAAATCTGCTGGGTATAAACAATATTGTAGGTTTGTGTGGGTTTTTATTTTGTGGTATTTTTTCCATATAGATTAGCGTCTGGTTTACTAATATTTTTGCTAAAGTCTGAAAAATTAAAACTCTTAAAAGATCTTCCTAATGAAGAAAATTAAATTTAATTTTGTGGAAAACTATAAATTGCTGTGATTATAAAACTTTTTTGCTTTAAAATAATTTCTAAATAATGCTCGATTGAATACAAAATTGAAAATTAAGACAAGACTATAGAATAGACTATAGACTAGATTATAGACTAGACTATAGACTAGACTATAGACTAAACTATAGACTAGACTATAGACTAGACTATAGACTAGACTATAGACTAGACTATAGACTAGACTATAGACTAGACTATAGACTATAGACTAGACTATAGACTAGACTATAGACTAGACTATAGACTAGACTATAGACTAGACTATAGACTAGACTATAGACTAGACTATAGACTAGACTATAGACTAGACTATAGACTAGACTATAGACTAGACTATAGACTAGACTATAGACTAGACTATAGACTAGACTATAGACTAGACTATAGACTAGACTATAGACTAGACTATAGACTAGACTATAGACTAGACTATAGACTAGACTATAGACTAGATATAGACTAGACTATAGACTAGACTATAGACTAGACTATAGACTAGACTATAGACTAGACTATAGACTAGACTATAGACTAGACTATAGACTAGACTATAGACTAGACTATAGACTAGACTATAGACTAGACTATAGACTAGACTATAGACTAGACTATAGACTAGACTATAGACTAGACTATAGACTAGACTATAGACTAGACTATAGACTAGACTATAGACTAGACTATAGACTAGACTATAGACTAGACTATAGACTAGACTATAGACTAGACTATAGACTAGACTATAGACTAGACTATAGACTAGACTATAGACTAGACTATAGACTAGACTATAGACTAGACTATAGACTAGACTATAGACTAGACTATAGACTAGACTATAAACTAGACTATAGACTAGACTATAGACTAGACTATAGACTAGACTATAGACTAGACTATAGACTAGACTATAGACTAGACTATAGACTAGACTATAGACTAGACTATAGACTAGACTATAGACTAGACTATAGACTAGACTATAGACTAGACTATAGACTAGACTATAGACTAGACTATAGACTAGACTATAGACTAGACTATAGACTAGACTATAGACTAGACTATAGACTAGACTATAGACTAGACTATAGACTAGACTATAGACTAGACTATATAGACTAGACTATAGACTAGACTATAGACTGACTATAGACGAGACTATAGACTAGACTATAGACTAGACTATACTAGACTATAGACTAGACTATAGACTAGACTATAGACTAGACTATAGACTAGACTATAGACTAGACTATAGACTAGACTATAGAACTAGACTATAGACTAGACTATAGACAGACATAGACCTAGAGACTAGACTATAGACTAGACTATAGACTAGACTATAGACTAGACTATAGACTAGACTATAGACTAGACTATAGACTAGACTATAGACTAGACTATAGACTAGACTAGATAGACTAGACTATAGACTAGACTATAGACTAGACTGTAACTAACTATAGACTAGACTATAGACTAGACTATAGACTAGACTATAGACTAGACTATAGACTAGACTATAGACTAGACTATAGACTAGACTATAGACTAGACTATAGACTAGACTATAGACTAGACTATAGACTAGACTATAGACTAGACTATAGACTAGACTATAGACTATGACTATAGACTAGACTATAGACTAGACTATAGACTAGACTATAGACTAGACTATAGACTAGACTATAGACTAGACTATAGACTAGACTATAGACTAGACTATAGACTAGACTATAGACTAGACTATAGACCTAGACTTATAGACTAGACTATAGACTAGAATAGACTAGACTATAGAACTAGACTATAGACTAGACTATAGACTAGACTATAGACTAGACTATAGACTAGACTATAGACTAGACTATAGACTAGACTATAGACTAGACTATAGACTAGACTATAGACTAGACTATAGACTAGACTATAGACTAGACTATAGACTAGACTATAGACTAGACTATAGACTAGGACTATAGACTAGACTATAGACTAGACTATAGACTAGACTATAGACTAGACTATAGACTAGACTATAGACTAGACTATAGACTAGACTATAGACTAGACTATAGACTAGACTATAGACTAGACTAGACTAGATATAGACTAGACTATAGACTAGACTATAGACTAGACTATAGACTAGACTATAGACTAGACTATAGACTAGACTATAGACTAGACTATAGACTAGACTATAGACTAGACTATAGACTAGACTATAGACTAGACTATAGACTAGACTATAGACTAGACTATAGACTAGACTATAGACTAGACTATAGACTAGACTATAGACTAGACTATATACTAGACTATAGACTAGACTATAGACTAGACTGTAGACTAGACTATATACTAGACTATAGACTAGACTATAGACTAGACTATAGACTAGACTATAGACTAGACTATAGACTAGACTATAGACTAGACTATAGACTAGACTATAGACTAGACTATAGACTAGACTATAGACTAGACTATAGACTAGACTATAGACTAGACTATAGACTAGACTATAGACTAGACTATAGACTAGACTATAGACTAGACTATAGACTAGACTATAGACTAGACTATAGACTAGACTATAGACTAGACTATAGACTAGACTATAGACTAGACTATAGACTAGACTATAGACTAGACTATAGACTAGACTATAGACTAGACTATAGACTAGACTATAGACTAGACTATAGACTAGACTATAGACTAGACTATAGACTAGACTATAGACTAGACTATAGACTAGACTATAGACTAGACTATAGACTAGACTATGACTAGACTATAGACTAGACTATAGACTAGACTATAGACTAGACTATAGACTGACTATAGACTAGACTATAGACTAGACTATAGACTAGACTATAGACTAGACTATAGACTAGACTATAGACTAGACTATAGACTAGACTATAGACTAGACTATAGACTAGACTATAGACTAGACTATAGACTAGACTATAGACTAGACTATAGACTAGACTATAGACTAGACTATAGACTAGACTATAGACTAGAATAGACTAGACTATAGACTAGACTATAGACTAGACTATAGACTAGACTATAGACTAGACTATAGACTAGACTATAGACTAGACTATAGACTAGACTATAGACTAGACTATAGACTAGACTATAGACTAGACTATAGACTAGACTATAGACTAGACTATAGACTAGACTATAGACTAGACTATAGACTAGACTATAGACTAGACTAGACTAGACTATAGACTAGACTATAGACTAGACTATAGACTAGACTAGAAAAACTACACTATAAACTACACTATAAACTACACTATAAACTACACTATAAACTACACTAAAACTACACTATAAACTACACTATAAACTTCACTATAAACTACACTATAAACTACACTATAAACTACACTATAAACTACACTATAAACTACACTATAAACTACACTATGAACTACACTATAAACTACACTATAGACTAAACTATAGACTATTGTATACGAAACAAGAACTGTTTTTTACTCCCCTAATATTTATGAATATCATTTATATGGGTGTAGATTTTTTTTCTTATAAAATCCAAAATTTTTAATCAAATTTTAATTAACAAAATTTCTGAAACATTACATATCGTATCCTGAAATGAAAAAAGGCGTAACAAACAAAAAATTAAAAATCGAGTTTTTGATTGAAAATGATCACTGCATTAAAATACATGTTGATGCAAAATTTTAGAACTCTATTATTAAAAGCACCGACTTTATTGACCTGAAATTCAAAAGGGCGTAACAACAAAGTCAGAAAGTCCTGAAAAAACAACGAAATGAATAATGTCTGGCGGTACAGTTATATTAAAACGTGTTTATATATTTATGTTGTATATAATACTTGTAGGAAAATGCCGTTTTTATATCAATAAAATATTTCAAATTATTTAGGTTTTTGTCCTTTCTGTACAATT